TGCACTTTGCCGTTTAATGATCTCGGAGTTATGAATACGTGCGCTATGCACGTCGCGCTCGTGAAACGTCGCTCGGTTCTCCCGAAATTGCGCAGTGACTGAAAGAGAGATTCGAGAACCGGTTGACTGCTTCTTGTGTCTCGGTAGGGTTAACGTTCGTCGATAATGATTCTTACGGGTTTCTGTATTAAGATATCAAATAACGTCGTTACGGAGGAAAGAAGTGCTAGAATCAATTGAACGTGATTACCTGATTTTTCAATCTCTTATAAATCAAGTGAAAAAAGCTGCTCTGTTCGTGATTAATGATAAACCGTTGTATAGTGAAAGAAAAGTAAAGAAATGAAAATTTAAATAAAGGATTTAGGGCACGAAACGTTGTCTTAAAATTATGTATCAACCACTTTTGCCGAGGGGCTTTTATGTTAAAAAGCGTCAAAGTTCCGTCGGAACTGATTCCCCGCTGCATTTACAAATTCACGCGATGAAATATTAATTTCGGATGACTCCGAACACAGTTCGTCGCTTATCACGTCCGGTCGGAATACCAACGCGAAACACTCGCTGTGCCGATCGATAATTCGAAAACAAATCTCGTACGTGTGGCCGTAATGGAACATTCGCTTGACAATAATCCGCATCATGGCGATGTTAGATTACGTCTAGACCGTCGTCAGCTTTCGGTATTACAAGGAGGAGGCAATATTCCGAAGGAAAAACGATCATAATAAGACCGTCGCGTAGGCCGTAATAGCCGTTACCGGAGGATCAAAAGATTAACAATGGCTACCTGACGTTCTATTTAATAACCGACTTCGTTATCTCGGCTTTATAACTCCCATGCATGCGCCCCGGAACTCTTTCACCGCGCCGAGCAGGAGATACAATTACACAATGCGCGCTCTCGGAGAGTGCACGCCGTTTTCCGTCCAAATGAGATACGAGTTCGCCCTCTTTCTCGACGGAAGGACGGTGGGAAAGGGGGGGGGGAGGGGGGAGATTCATTATATCGCAAAAATACACTCGTATCTCGGCACGCACCTCTGCGCCCGACAATCTTCGTGCGTACCGAGAACGGCGAAGAAGCGGGAGGGGAGAAAGACACACGCGGGGTAATCCCTTTCGTCGCGGTCACGAGTCAACGACGACGTCGACGTTGTCCTCGTGGTTGTCGTCGTTCGCATAATTGCCTCCTCGCGTCGGAGGTCCCAGCCTCGGTTAACTACTAACTCACTCACATACCGGTACACCAGCAACGCTCTCTCTCTCTCTCTCTCCCTCTCTCTGAACGAGCGAGCGAGCGCGTAGCGCACCCACGCGTGCGAGCGACCACGTCGCACGGATTTAACAGTTCGCTAATTTCTCCGACCGCGATATTTAACGTTGCTTCCTCCGATCCTCCGAGCCGAGGAGAAATGCCTCCGGTTTTCTGTTCCCAGCAGGAAGTGGCCAGGGTGGAAAATTATCGTGGCGCCGCCGTGTCGAGCCGACGTCGAAGCGAGACGTCGCGGTATCCCGCGTGCGTTTACCGCCTTTCTCCCCGAATGCGATGCTCTCTCGGCTCTCCTTTCTACACGCGGAGAACAGCGAGGCTGAAGTTGCGACGGAAAACGAAGGGGGGGAGAGAGAGAGAGAGAGAGAAGCGGAGGGCGACGCACGTCGGCGTTGGCGATGCCTAATTAGCGGCGTCGGAAATGAGGCGTAGGCACTGCGAAATTAGTATCTCAAGATATCCATCCGTCCCCCTCCTTCTCGTTCCTCCTTCTCGCTGGAATGCACTCGCATAGATATTTCCCGTGCATCGTCGGACATCTTCATCCAGGACCGAGCGCGCGGCCTGGAAGATTGAACGCCGAGGCACCTGCGAGATGTCGTTACGTAAGACGCGCGAAGAGATACCTTCCCGTGCAGCTTAATTGAATGAGGTATCCGTGAACCATCGTGATTCTTCTGCTGGTTGTCCGTCAACGAGCCGCTATTCGATTGCTCTCCGTGAGAATTCCAACGGATTAATACCGCTCGGCACCGGTCTGTCTCTCGATATTAAACTTTCTCGTAATTATGTCTGAAATTAAGCTTCTGTTGAAGCAACTGCCTCTACCGCAGAACTGTTAATGCTGATGTCTTATTTATTATTTTTGTTGAGAGGAAGTTAACTTGTTAACTTGCGACTCGATCGAAGGAGAACGGGAAAAGTTTTTCGCGTAGATAAAGTTTTAATTTAAAATATGTTCCGTAGAGAGAGAGAGAGAGAGAGAGGGGTGGGGGGCAAAAACATGTCTCACTCTTTTTCCTTTTCGCTCTCTCTGTTTCTCTGTCTTTCTATCTCGCACGAACGCACGTAATAACACACTCGCATAATTATAAAATGTATATTTCGTATTTGCATTAATATTCATAACACTATCTGAGGCTATATCGCGATATCTTCTCGCGTAATTACAAACTCTATTATTTATACCGTTGTGTATGCGTTAACAATTACGCATTTAATATACGTTAATAAATACGAAACGTAATAATATGTGACGTTGGTTATCGCATGCGGATACTTTATTATTTGTGAGCTGCAAAACTACCTGACGCGCAAACACGGCCGAATCCCGTCCCGAAAATTGTCAGGTTTTTTACTTTTCAACGGGCACACTCGTTGCGGCACGCACACCTGCGTCCGGATTAACTTCAGTAAAAATTTATATAACGGGTTGTGATACAGAGGCCCCCGAACGTACAAAGGGAATATTTAAATGAAAATGTCTCTCCGCGCCAACTCATGTCACCTTGTTACAACGCTCTCACTAATGTAACTGCATTTTTATTCGCCGCGTGAATCGCGAATTATATGAAATTACCCGCATTAAAAAAAATTACGCTAACAAGAGGGCGCATCACAAAATTTGCACAATGTAGGAAAGTATCGCGTCGTTCATTCTCTTCCTCTCCTCCTTTCCCCCGTTACGGGGAGGGATTATATTTAAAATGCAAAAAAGAAGCATACATCGCTCGGTACATATACGTTCCCCAAATTTTCGCGACACGTTTCCAAGATTTATGACATGTCGCGTCTATTATCCACAGATCAATATTATTTATTTGCCAGTATTATTTATCATTACGTCATTATAATTTATTTATTGATGTGTTTCCGGCAAAATTTATTAATTGTTAATTCGGATAGAAAATTACAGCGGGTCCGTTTAATTATTCGCGTATTTTTGTTTGTCTCATACCAATTTAACGCAATCACGTTGCGCCAATAGATATCGAGCGTCACGTGGCTTTAATTCGAGGGACCGATTAAAAATGCAAGGAGAATCCGCGTACAGTTCGAATTGTGACATCCCTCACTCGGTGCAGCGTCGCGGGCGACGTTGCGACGGACGGTGCGATTTGTATTTCAACTAACCTTTCCTCCCGTATCTACTTTTTCACGACACGCTCGTTTACGATAGCCGACATTTGCTGTGTGTGTTCACAGTAACGTCGCGATATCGATAGGGTGCGATTTACGAGTAGCAGCCCCTCACGGTGCTAAGCCCCAACGTTCATCTCCCGGCCGCGAGTCTCGTTATAGCGACGTTGAACTAGCCGGACAATGACAAAGCTTTACGATTTAGTCCGAGTTACGAGTGAACGCGCGGAATTCTCACGCAGCCGACGCAGTCTCGTTAATAATTGCGGGGCTTGATCGATGACGCCGATGACATACACGTGCCTCTATTGTGTTCTTATTGGCCGTCGCAAATATTACATTGTTACCGGGGGAATAATTATTCCAGCACACTGTTATTTCGGTGTATGTAAAATAGATAGCGCCGATGAATGACTTTGGCTTTTAAACAAAGGTATTCATCATGTAATTACACTATCACACACGTGGTATCTCGTATGAGTTTTGCAAATGTCCCGGTGTCGGAAACAATAGACTTGCGCGAAATGGCATTTTATTCCGAAGTCGGTAGTTCAAACGGGTAATTATAACGTCGAGAGAACCGGTTCCGAAGTCAGATGAATGTGATATTTTCATTTTATGCACGGGGGAAAAATAATTTTGCCGCTTGTAGCGGAACTGTCGTTGCGTTACCGCATTCTCGTTCGCGACAGCGATAACATTTAATCGGCATAACGAAATGGCGAATTATTCGTAATTAGATTAAAAACAGCTTTGCGCTGCCGGAATAGAGAAATATTGCCCAGTGAGTTTATCCTCGAGATACGTTAATTTGCTGTTAGAACAAAATAGTGTTTTCTTACACTCACTAAATTTTTTTTGTTCTTAGTAACAATTTTTAAATTTCAGCAAAATAATTTATAGATTCAGCAAAACATATGCAGTAAATGGCAATTAGTACCCTTGACAAATCATTTTGTTATCCAATAGTGACCGATAGATTTTTTGCTTCAACAGCATACAATTTTCTGTGGCAACAGATTATTTTTCCCCGTGTATGTGACTATTATGAACGATAACATAATTTATTTGCTTATAACATAATAATGATTATATAATGACATAATAATGATTATATTATTTATTTGCTTATAACATAATAATGATTATATTATTAACCCTTTGCGCTCGAGGGCTCCACTCCGGAGCCCTCGAGTGCAAAGGATTAATTGATTATATTAATATTGAAACTATTATTATATTAAATATAATTATAATTATTCGTTTGATGGTGTGGGCGTGCGGATGCGCCAAATTATAAGTACCGAGCGCGATTCGTAACGTCGTACGCGCGCATTCGTCTTGAGTCACGCATTATAATCCGCATATTCCGGCCACGAGTGAGAAACGGGCTGGGTTCCGGAGTGGCTTTCTCGGCCATTCATCCGCTATAATGGAGAAGAAAAGCGGGAAAAGAAGAGCGCACTTATATCCGCTCGCGCACGCGGCCGTTTCTCGATGCTTTATTTCGCCGCATTCTCCTCGCGATCGCCGCGTTCACCGCGCTAACCGAGCTAACCCCATCGCTTTTTTCGCTTTTTTTTTCCAGGGATCTGAGACCGGTGAGCCTGGAGAAAGGCCAGGAGACCCTCAGGCTCCGAGTCTACGGCTGTTACGCTTGGGGTGGGCCCTTCTTGGTCGCCGGGCTGGCGGCTCTTCTCGACCATCTACCGCCTCAACCTCAATATACGTACCTCAGGCCCCGCTTCGGCGAGAAGCAGTGCTGGTTCTACGGTAAGTCGAGTGCTCCCCCTACCTCGACGCCCCGATCCCTCGTCATTTCCGCGTGAACTACCTCGCGGACGCGCAACTCCCCCCATCCGTCCGTTCGCCCGTCCGTCGTTGCCCTTTAACTTCCTCCGCGTCAAACTGTTACGGATTACTCGCCGTCAGATTTACATCTCCCGCGCCACGACGGGCGCCGTGATATTTCGAGAAGCTGGCGAAAAAGAGTATCGAGGCAGCGAGGGAGAGAGAGAGAGAGAGAGAGAAAGAGAGGAATACCAAAGACAGGACAGAATAGAAATTATCGTCAGCTTCGATCGATTCGAAAAGCAGCCTCGCTTCGCTTCATTTCTTAAAACTGCTCGTCTTTTTCTCACCTGTCTCCCCGTTGAAAATCTGAGTAACATGTCTCTGATTAACCGCCGATGAAGAATTCTCGTTATTTTGGACTTTGCGTTCGCTGTCGTGAAAATGCATCTTCTCATCATGAAATATTTTATTATATTAAAGCCTCTAAGTGATTTTATCACTGAAGCAAAATATACTAAGAGTTTTTGGATGTATTAAACACGATTTTTGAGTCCGGCTCGGAAAAATGTTGCTTCAGAAGATAGACTAGCTGTCAGAGGGACGAGAATTTTTGGAATTTTCGAATATTATCGTCATGAGATATTTTGTCACATTAAAGTTTTACAATGAATTAAATATAACATTTGGATAGTTTGAAAAACGTCTGCATTTATTGCGAACTAACGTCAAGCTTCAATTAAAATTTGCCATATTACCCGCCAGTTTAGGTTTATCAACGAAACATTTTTTTAATTTGACGCGAAAATCGACATTATCAAAAACTCCCCTGTATAAACTTACATTAATTTTCGAGAACCTTTTGTCTTCGCCATTTTAGGACCAGCCGAGGAAGAAAGATGGTATGATGGGATTAAAAGTTCGGCATTTGCGGGAAATTTCGAAATTGACGATTCGATCGGGAAGCCGTGTCGGCGCGAAACGCGCGCGCTTTATTTTCGGCGCGGTAGAACTGTTTTCTTTCGCGACGACTTGTCGAGGAATCGCTGTCGATATCGCGCAAGACATTTCGCTGTACTATTCGCTCTTTGATTCGGCGAAGAGCTACGAAGCACGTCGACGTCCGTACAAAACCGAAGCGCGCGCGGCTCAATTAAATCGAGCAATACGTTTATTATGGTCAACGCAACGATGCAATTGGGACGAATTGCTTGTCAGCGGCGGTGGACGCGACCATCGAGCTAGATCATAGCTTTAATTAAACTTGGCAACAGTGCGGCTATAATCCACAGACGGCCCCGCTCGTCAATATTGTCTATGATAATGTATTACGATACCAAAACGCGCGCGTCGTTCTTGCAACTCAACCGGCCGGCCGGCCCGATGGGAATTATTTACAGCTACGACCGCGTAATTAATAACTAGCGATACATTCGTTTCCCTTCAGGCCGGATCTACCAGCGCTACAGGGAAACCTTCACCATTCTCGTTACTAATAAATGATTCAGCGGCTCGCGAGCCTAATAATCGATCATTCGCGCAACGATTAATACCAACGGCGGAATGCGCGCAGCAACCCGCGGAATTAATTTAGATTCTCGCTGTAATTGAAGCCGATGGTAATTACACACGCGCTCGCGCAGCACGTAAGATCGCTTATCGATCTGTTTTTTTTTCTCCTTTTGTTAAGGTCGTCTCGATCGCGATTAATAAATATTCGCGCCGCGTTTCGTTTCGTTAAACGTTTAACACGCACCAATCGCGATCGGTGCATGTTCCCGAGTAAAGAGAGAAATAGAGACACGCAAGATGAATCGAAAATCCCGAAGGGGCGAAATATTGCGCCGGACGCGATTCTTTCTTTCTTCGCGATTTTCGAACTCGATATCTCACGGTAATTACACTCGTTCCCCCCTGAAATAAAAATTCTTTTATAAAATGCACATTACGCTCGGCCGAAGAAGATATAAAATTCCATCATTTCCCCTATTATTATTTTATTGCCCTCACATTCCCGTAACTTAATTAACGGTATGAGCTCTCCGTTTTTTAATCGCCCGTAATTCGAGAACGGTTAATATCGGCGGGACTGAAGCGGACGAATATTGTTGTCAGTTTGATCTCCGATTTGGCTCTCTTCCTCTCTCTATTTCTCTCTTTGGTCGAGGGAAATAAAGGGAGAGAGAGAGAGAGAGAGAGAGTGTGTGTATGCAACGTGGCACGATTCACGTGCGTATCGTGTCGCTTCTTTGTTTCGGCGATCACATTCACGTGTATTCATTCACGGACAACCGAGTTACTCCACAGTAGTAAGATATCGATTCGGATGGACGATAATGGTGCTTATTATCGAAAGTAATACGTTGCGAGCAGACCGTTATCCGGCAATCCCTCGTGATCCGATTATTCCGCCAATTAATAGAACTGGTCATCCGCGCACCGAGTGCCGATTAAATTGGTTTTGTTAATCGATCGGTCGTACGTCGAATTAATTGCTAATGAAGTACCGTCGACCGGCGTCGGGGCGCGGCGTCGGAAAATAAAATAAAACGCCGCCGCGGCGGCGCATTCACCCGTTATTACGCACACACGTACTCACGACGATGATAGATCGTAAATGTTCCATTCATCCGCGGGATTCTTGTTTTCGTCCCGCTCGCTCGGTTCGGAAAAATCGCATGATCAATCGAATGTACGATGTTAAGTCGATCGATCGCGTCGAGGGATCCTTCGGTGAAAAAATTTGCCGATGTAAGCAACGAGAACCGCGTTCACGAGTGAGCGGCGAAATATCCGCAGAAATTGCTCTGCTTTTTTTTTGTTATACTTGTCTATTTGCAGGATATTCTGAAGCTATCGTCGCCATCGATACTCACAGATGAGCTAATTTAAGGTACTTGTACCGCAGAATGTCGTATTTTTCATTGGCGCATCAAGGCGGTCATCTGTTATATTTAGTATTTATAAAACGAAATTGCGTTCTATATATTTATTTCACCGCTTACATAATAAGTATCATTATATTTGAAACGAAATCGAGGCAGATATGTATACAGGGCGTCTCGGAACTACGGGGGACAAGTTTCAAATTTGAAGAGAGGAGTTACAAAATAGGACATTAGCCTCGAGAAATACGGTGTAGAAAGTGTTACCTGTAGTTGCGAATATCTCAGCCTCTGAACGATCTATATATTTATAAATGCGCCGATAATTAGGCCATGTTTAAGTCTGTGTACGGTGCAAGTTTCGACGAATTCTTAAAAATCATTTTGTGCTACAACTGCCTCGACACACCGCTACTCCTCGACATCGGGGGCATCGACGCTTTCCGAGCAGTGTCGGTGATCTCGAATCTAAAAATATTTACGAATCAAGCCCGGAGTGTGCTTCGCGAGGTCCGAATGGCAAGCTCGCGATCGTTATCTGATCCGAAATGGACCTCGCGACTGAAATTCCACCTGACGATTATTTATCGAGCCGATGGGAGAAATAGCACTCGAGGGGTTAAAGTACGAACGTATTCGGAAAATCAACGGGTGCGCATTAAGCACGCATTTGCGCTTGCGTCGATACGCAAACAAACCGTTTACGCCTCGTCGGTGCAGTCGAGTGACAGCCACTCAACTCGCGCGGGAGGATTACACGCTCACCGAGACGTCACGTGTAAACCGCGCGCGCGATTACGGATCTCCCCGCGTGGTGTGCACATAATTACCCGCGCGTACAAATAATCGTCGGTCGCAATAAGGAACAACAACGGCGGGGCCGAGCGCGCGCGCGCCTCTGTGCCGCGTCGGCTTCCGTGGGCGCGGGGGATACTTCCGTAAGAGGATTACGCGCCAGCCGAAATATTGTATTTAAGTATGACGTACTAGGGTGGGCTGAATAAGAAGATCGATACCCTCCCAAAGCGCCTTTAATGCCCCGGATCCCCAATAATAACCGGTGGCGGTTCGCCCGCTGCGCGGCGAATCTCCCTGCGAATCGCGCCGCGAGAAGGAGAAAGCGAGAGAGAGAGAGAGAGAGAACGTTTCGCGGAGCGTCGAACGGAGATAATAAGGTTCCGACCGTCGTATCGGCCGGGACTTTATTCTCGTGTCGAGTCCTGACTATGTACGGTCGCGAGCTATTTAACGACCCGCTCTCGCCCGTAATCCACCGGCCGGCGTAATCCGACGCGCACACTAAAATCCGCGTCCTAAAATCCGCGTGGATGCGCCCCGCAAACACCCTCCCGCTGTATATTAATTTCGCTCGTCGATCTGTCCGTCCGTCCGCCCGTCGTCGGATCCCCGCGCGCATCGCTGATTAATACTTACCTTTTACATGCCGGCATCCGCGGGTTCCATCCTGTCGCGGCCAGAGATTGCAATTACAAACAAACCGTCCGCCCTCTCGCGCCTCCTCCCCCTCCTCCTGCGCCGCGTTACGTCAGCTGGAACCACATGCGGCGCCGATTTTTCCCTCACCGGGAAAAAAAGAGGAGAGCGAAAAAAAAAACACGACATCAAAGGAAACCCAGGGAGGAGAGTCGGGGAGGGGGGATAATAATTATCGGCGCCTGCTGATCGCGGCCGCGTTGATGACATTTCGCAGCCGGTGGCTCGCGTAGTTAACCGCGAGCTACGAAACGGGGCTGTAATGACGATACATAAAGCGGATGGTCCGCGGCTGGAAACAACGATATGTGATTATACTCGAATGGGGATCTCTGTATCGGCGCTTACAGTGACGCGCGGATTGAAATTAACGCGTGCCATTTCGCCGCCGCGGATCGGCCGTCCTATTTCCGAACTCTCGATTCGCGCGCTCGCGGAAACGAGGGCGGAAACTGCGACTCCCTCGCCGCCGTGTCCGCATAGAAAAATTCTTGGGATCTGCGCGGCAAAGAATTTTTTGTCAAATCTAACGGTCAAATTTTACGGTCCACGCAAATTTGTATGTTAATTTAACGCAAGGTAAATATGTTGAGAGGCTTATAT